TTAATGACACCAATGCTGTAAACATGAAAAGTGGGGGAAAAAAAAATGTAATTTGAAGTGCTGCTCTGAAACGAACACCTCCTTCTTTATTATGTTCGCCCATGCCATCAGAGGTAGATGGTGGTATGGCAGTAGAGGATAATTTTTCCCACCATTATTCCATTACATGTTATTGTTGTACAACAGAGGACAGCAGAGGGGACAGTCAGAAAGAATGGCATCTGACATGGGAGTATACATGAAGAGAAGGTGTGTCACTGAATTCCTCCACATGGAAAAATGGCACCCACTGACATTCACTGACACTTGTTGAATGTTTATGGAGATGAAACGGATGTAAGCACAGCAAGGAAATAGGTACTACGTTTCAGCAGCAGCAATAGTGATGTGAAAGACAAGCCCTGTTTGGGACAGCCATGAAGACTGCTATCAGAGCGGCATGAAGGCTCTTGTTCATGGCTGGCAAACATGTATAGTTAATAGTGGTGACTGTAAAAAAAATAGTGTTTTGTAACTGAGAAGTTGCTCTATTAAATAGCATTATTGTACTCTTTTTATCTGTTGTTGTTTCCATGGAAATAAATAAGAGGCATTACTTTCAGACCGACCTACATATATTTTCCTTTTCGGCACGTGAAACTAACAAAATAATTATGATACAATTTTTTCTTACTGCTAGTTTTCAGCTAAATTCAACGTCATTGAAAATGATATGATGACACAGGTATACTGTTGAATAATACGCTAATGACAATAAAAAGAAAAATCCCAAAGAAAAACATGGCAACCTTTGTTGAGAAACAATTAAAGTAGTCAAGAACAACCTAATGCACAGAAGTGGCAGTTTAATAACATGATTATTTTCATCTTTAGCCTAAGAAATATAGGTTCAATATGGAAATATCAGATTTTGAGAAGAACCTGTATAACTGCACGGATTATGTCATACCATTCATAACACAGTTCAGCCTTTTTCAGATTAAAAGTTCTAGGTGTAAGAAAACCTTGGACATGAGGTACAGACTTAGATTTTTTTCGCCCTTCAAAGAAATTTATTTTGTACTCACTGGAAACTGACTCAGCAGCACACATTGAGTTTTAACCTTCTATTTGCTGTCGAGAAAGCAGCCTGTTCAGTGTTTTGAAAATGAACAAAACACTAAGCGTGCGCTTAACATTAAACTTGAGCTGCATTTTCCCCAAGGTAAATGGGATGCAAATGAACCCTTGGTTGTTGTGCTTAATACAGACACTCTCTATGCCTCTGAACTGTTTTGTTGCCAGCTGACTCTTACAACTGAGAAAGAGATGTCAGTTTCATAGAATATGGATTGGATCATTTTAAGCTAGTACCAGCAAAAAGAAAACAGTTCACTGACAGGAAGAAATACGCCTGATAATGTCACCTCTGCAAGCTTCTTGGATTAGTGCATGAAAATGGGCACAAAGCCCTACTCTAGCTTGTAGTACAGTGACATACCTTGTATTTTACTTTCATAATCATTTGCAAAAACATAGCTGAATGAACAGCATGGAGCAGCTTGTGTTCATATCATAATATATAGCCTCTCAGTACTTCATGTCCAATAACACCTCTATGAAAATCAAGCTGCATTAGTTCTGCTTCTTTGTATAACACTTTGCATGACTACGAGTAGCAAGTGACAACAATTTCTCCAGTAACTGAGATTGATTATTGGTGCTTCCGCACATCCATAATCATGATGCATGCAGCACAGAGATGGAATTATTTTCATACACTGCCTTGATTGGTAGAAAACACTTTTTTTAAAGTGAAGTGAATATTTATAGGATGTTTGCAATATGCTCTAGAGGAATGAGTATTGTACTAGCTGTCAGATCTCTAGCCTACCGTCTTGTGTGGCTCTGAGCACGCCACGCATGCTGACTACTTTTGGTACAGTTCAGTCAATAGTCAGCACTAAGAAGATCTTACATCTACCACTGATTACCAGTCTGTAGTACTTGAGATACTTAGTACCCTGTTAGTAATAGTGAGAAAATGAAGTGAGCATGAGAACTAAATGTAGTACAGGGTCGAAGGCATGGACAGGATGAATCGGGATTTTATTTCAGTGAAAGTGATTTTACAGCTGTTTAACAATATTGACTTCAAAAGAGTTGCTGTAGATTGTTACTACTGAAGCAGTATGTATCTGTTCAGAGCAATGGGAAACAGTGCCTATCCTTCAATGGAAAAAGTAGCTTGAAAATTTTTTTCTTTACTTTTACAGCATGTTCTACAATGGTTGTTGGTTTTGATTTGTTTTGTGTTTGTTTGTTTGTTTGTTTCTCATGTTGTTTCCAAGATACTAAAAGAATTTAATATTTTAAAGAAGCCATAAAGTCCTTTAAGATAAAAAATATCAGATAGTAGTATTTTATATTGCATAACTCTAAATTTTTGTTGAATAATGCAACTATTTTGAAGTAACTCTTCTAAATGAGAATCATCACATCCTGCTGAAGAAAACGAAGC